TGCATACCTGGGAGCTGTTCGGCCACCCAGATACCCCCACCCACAAGACCAAGGTACTCCCTTCTCCCAGCTGCCAGGAATGTAGCCTGCTGACAGCTCACAGCTCGGTCTGTCCATCCTCGGGAATTATCCCGAGAAAGGCAGCTGGCTTGGCTAAGGGTGGCCCCCACCCGACCTGTCCCACATCCAAGGACTGGTCTATGCACAGGTACCAAGACCACGGCTCATCCTGAGGCTAGCTGAGGCCCTGCAGGTCTGCCTCTTTGCTCTCCCTCAGCCTAATCCTGCCCCCCTCAGTTTTCCTGGTGAAGACACAGTGCAAACACACCCCAGGAAACCACCTAAATCTCACAAACCTCAGTCCAGGCCCCTTCTCCCTAGGGCACATGGCCTATGCGAGCTGGCATCCTGCTCACCATCCTGTACTAAGTTAACACCTTCTAAAACAAGGTCAGTTTGTGCGATCCCACACTGATCACACCAAGCATACCTGATGGCCACATTTAAGACACAGCCAAACGGGAGGGGTTTCTCCTGTTTCTTCTTCAGGTTTGTCTTTCACTTTATTGTCTGTCTTACAGTCTTGGCAAACATTCCATTCCACATTCACTAACGCCTTTTTCAGAATACTTTGTTCCAGTCCTTTTCTAATGTGCCTGCACACAGGTTCTATGAAAACAAGTAACACACGAGTGATGAGGTAAATACAACTTTCTCAGAGAATCACAAAGTTTACCTTTCATTTGAACTTCAAATATGAACTTACTAGGTACAAACTGTTAGATAATCTGAGTATTAGTTGATTACGTGAGAAATCTGGAATTTTGCTATTTTTGTAGTCCTAAATACATTCACTCTCTCTCCCCCTCTCCCTTCCTCTCTGAAATCAATAAAATATATTTTAAAAATAATTTTTAACGGATCAAAGTGTACATTATTGTTCTGTAATTTGCATCTCTTTTTTTAAAATTGATTTCAGAGAGAAAGGGAGAGAGAGAAACATCAATGATGAGAGAGAATCATTGATTGGCTGCCTCCTGCAAGCCCCCTAGTGGCGATCAGCACACAACTGGGGCCTGTGCCCTTGACCTGAATTGAACCTAGGATCCTTCAGTCTTCAGGCCGACGCTCTATCCAATGAGCCAAACTAGTTAGGGCAATCCCATTTTTACACATTAAAAAATGTCCATTTACAGACATAAAATCACTTTAAAGGTTCAATTGGGGAAATATACCTAAAGATTCAGAAGAATCATCAACTGGAACAATTTTTCCCTTTATCCGTTTCTTTCCCATGTTGGCACTTCATGGATTACTTCCTGACACAAAATAATAATCTAGGAAACAAGATAAAATTAGCTTGATAAAAAAAAGTTCATTTATGCTTTTCTGAGACAGTAAGAGAACTCAGCCACAGGTAACACTTTACATGTTTATCACACACTATAATTTATAAAGACCATTCACATATATCATGTAGTTCTCAATAAAAACTGTGAAGTAGAGAGAATAAATAGTACTACACCAGTTTCTTAGCTTAGGAAACAGATTCTTAGTCAGGTTAAGAGGTTTCCAATAAATGTGAAGGTCAGGAGAGAACCCAGGTCTTCTTACCAAGACCTGAAGTCTCAGCACGTGACACCATTTGGATTCACCGTCTCACTAAGCACGTGTGGAATGCTGCTGGCACCCAGACGATGTCCTTCCCTTCTAGGCTGCCTTCCTTCCTTTCTTTAAAATATATTTGTATTGATTTCAGAGACGAAGGGAGAGGGGGAGAAAGAGATAGACACATCAATGATGAGAGCGAATCATTGACTGGCTGCCTCCTGCACGCCCCACACTGGGAATGGAGCCCGTAACCCAGACATGTACCCTGACAGGGATTTGAACTGTGACCTCCTGGTTCATAGCTTGACGCTCAACCACCGAGCCACGCTGGCCAGGCTAAGCTTCCTTTCTTAGCTCTGAGGTCTATGCAAATTAAATCGATACTTTCTCTAAGAAAAATTACAAATAATTCTGAAAACAAACTATTAAAGGGAGTTAGAAAATTTGCAAAATAATTACCAGGCCAAGTACAAAGCAATGATACATTGTTCAGCATTTTCCACACCAGGATTTCCTATATGAATACTACCCTATATGGATATTATATGATAATGTATTATAATTGCATTGTCAAATATTTATACACTAGTGGCCCGGTACATGAAATTCGTGCACATTAAAGGGAATGAATTGGAGGGAATATTTTCGTATCGCTATTTGCCCTCTCTCTGTAATAGAAGTGTCAGAGATGAAAGAAAATTAGTAAAATATGTAAGACAATCTCCCTCCTGTCAGAGTCTGGGGCACGCCATGGGACCCAGAGTCAAGTTCCCATCCCCCATGTGCACCTCGAAATCGTGGGAGACCCAGACCCGGCTGGCCTCACCCCTGTCAAGCCCCGCAGGGCGGGGGGCGCAGCCTCAGGTCCCCCCTCAAGCCCGGCTGGGAGGGGGCCCGGCCTCAGGTCCCCCGGCCCCAGCGAGAGGACCATTTGCATATTAGCTCTTTATTATATAGGATTATATAGGATTCATATTATAAAGTCAGTTTGGAATACTAGGACAAATCTAGCTGCACATCAGGTCTGCACCTCCTTAGGCAACAATGCAAACTTAGTAAATATGAAAAGTGCTGAAAGTACATACAGGTCTATATAATTTTAAATAATAGTAATGATTTTGAAAAGTTGCATTTAACATACATTACAATAGCTTAGTGTCAAAATCACTGACTATCTGACCTGGCATGCTTACTAGAATTCTGATTACATTAGTGGAGAGTAAGACTTGGATCATATGTTTTGAAAACACTTCCCAATTAATTCTGCTACTTAGCTGTCACCATGTCTTGTCTTAGAATCTTACAAGTATTCCTCTTTTAGCTCTTAATGGGTTAGTGTAATTAAAGGTAATTCAAAAGGCCTGTACGAAAAATTAGTACATCAAGTAATTGTTAACTTTTACAAAGATAATCTAAAATGTAACAAGTTTACAAAGCAAATAAACTAACAAAAGAATACAAAGTATATAGGTATATATAATACAAGGTATATTTTATGTATGCTTTCTTGACCTAAAGATAACATTTAACATAACTTATCTAGAATTGTAGATGCTAGGGGAAAAAATAGCACTGAAGTTCTTGCCTCCAGTCACACTCCCTCTAACCCGCTGCATTCTGCACCAGAAACATCTTCCCATGACGCCATTTCCATCACATCCCCCTCCTGACTGGCAGCATTCACCAGGCCCCAGTCCGCACTCCCGGGCCTGCACCCAGGTCCTGCACAAGCTGTCCCCGATGCGCTGCAATCCTGACCCTCATGGCTTCTCAAGCTTAACACATGGCGCTTTGCTCTCAAAGCCCTTTCAGGACCACCATCTCATTGGCGTTCACAACTCCGCACACGGAGCATTTCACTAAAGGAGGAAACTCAAAAACAAGATGACGAAGGACCACAGGGCGTCAGAGATGGAACCCAGGGCGACCCTTCTCCCCCCGTCAGTCCCTGGTGCCCGCCGCTCCAAACACCTCCCTCTGACCGCGAGCTGGGGCATCCTCCACCGGGACATGTGCAATTTCTCCGCCGGGGACCTAAAGCTCTGGGAAAGGAGCGGGTTTCGGCATCGCCTCCGAATTACCCAAACAGTGTTAGCAGGTCCTCAAGAAACACTCCGCGCATGGAAATACCTGACGCACTAGGGCTGATGACAAGGTGCAGAGGTACGTACAAGAGAAGGAAGCAACCAGTGGAGGAGGTGGCGTCCGCCGCGACGGCCGCGCCTAGGAACTGCCTGGAGGGAAACCCGAGGAGGAGCTGCGCCTGGACCGTGCGGGTCCCGCCTTCAATGCAGCGGAAACAGCCCCAGTGACATTCTGACATCTGTGCGGGGCCTCTAATGAGTCAGGAGGAGGCGGCACCGTGGGCACCGCCAGCTGTAAAACATCCAGAAACCTCAGTAAGCGCGGCCGGCGTGGCTCAGGAGTTGAGCGCCGACCTAGGAACCGCGAGGTCAGGGTTCAATTCCCCGTCAGGGCACAGGCCCGGGTGCAGGGCGTGCCGGAGGCAGCCGGTCCGTGATTCCCTCCCGTCATGGATGCTTCTCTCTCTCCCCCTTCCTTCTTCTCTGAAATCAATAAGTTCAATAAAAACACATTTCTCTAAAAAGCATGGAAGCGTCTGGACTGCTGTCAGCAGGTCTGGACCGTGGCGCCGAGTTTGGGGTCCGACCCTGGAGCACAGGGTCTCCGAGGCGACGGCCCGCTTCCCCAGCGCCCCAGCCCTCTCCCCGCAACGGCCGCCATCCCCGGGAACCGCGGGCCCCTGGAGCGAGGGGGCCGCCAGCACCCACAACTCATGGGGCAACTCCTGGAAGTGACAGGACGAGGACGGCGAGGCCGCGGCGCCAGGCGAGGCGGGGACCCGCGCTCCGAGCGAGGTCGCGGCGCAGAGAGCGAGGCCGGCAGGAGACTCGCGCCCAGGGCGCAGGAGGCCGCGCGGCCAGGCCACGACTCACCCGCGGCGACGGCACCCATCCCAGCGCTCCTCGCGGGCCCCGCGCGGCCGGCTCCGTCCTCCTTCCCTTGGCGAGTAAGAAGCGACGGAGCGGAAGCCGGAGCGGTCGGACAGCAGCCGCTTCCGGTGCGCGGCCCTGCGGTGCGCATGCGCGCGCCTCGCGCCGGACGTGCAGTCGCCGCGTCCGGAAGGTCTGGTCCTGAGGGAGCTGCCCCGCGGGGCGTGGCTGTGGGTTGCTCACCTGCTGGTTAGCGGAGCGGCGACCGCCGGCGGCCCGGGGCCCCTCGCGGCTCCTCAGGCCCACGCGGGGCGTCGCAGCCCTCCTGAGCTTCGGTGGGCCCCAGCGCGGCCCGTGTGGACCACCTGCGGTTCCGTCTGCTGGTTCCGGACCCATGGGCGCCGAGCCCCGTGGTGGGAATTAAACAGGTGGGCGCCGCCGGCCCGGTCTGACCCGGAAACACTGCGGCAGGAGGACGCGGTGTCCACAGAAATGCGGTCGGGGACTAAGCGGCGCCTCCCTTTCCAGCCGCGGGCCCTGCCGGCAGGTGCGCCCCCCTCCCCCCGCGGCCAGCACCAGGCGGCAGTGCGGCCCCTGCGTGACCGAGCAGCCCCGCGGGGGCCTCCCAGGTGCGCCAGGAGGGGACGTCGTGGCCCGTGGGAGCCCAGCAGGCACTGCCCCGCTCCCGCCCCGGTCCGCATCCTCCTGCCTCGGCCTGTGGGTGCTGGGCCCCCAGACCTGCCCGCTGGCTCCGGTCCCCTTTCCGCCCTTGCCTCCTAACAGCCATCCGCAGGCCGCGCCCGGCTCCTCCCTCCGGGGGCAGCCGTGGCGGCAGAGATTTCCTCGTCCTGTTGGTCGTTACCAGTTGGTGCCCGGCCCGTGCGGGACACTCGTTGGGTGAGCGGCAGGTGCGGTCCTGGCGGGCGCTGTGGGCGCTGCTCGTGCCGAGCTCTGTGTGCACTTTCCACAGCCGCCCTCGGGCTCCCAGCAGCCGTCTCCCCGCTTTGGAGATGGGGAGACTGAGGCCCGAGAAACCGAGCCGCTGGCCTAGGTCGTGGGCGGCAGGTGGCACTTGGGCCGACCGGCAAGAGCGCACACTTAACCGCTACAAAGACCAGCGCGACTTCATTTCCTCCGATAACCACCCAATCAGTACGCTGTTTCCTAGAGTCCTCAGCTCCAAAACACGCTGGAGAAGATATTTTTGGAATTCTAATAAGTCCAGGGATTTTAAACGTCATTTGAAAAGGACTCCGTGAAGATGGAACGTAGCCTTGGTATTGAACGACTTTAAGTTGGGGCGGATAGATGACCAGCCAGGAATGGCTCCTGTGTCCAGAAGAGCTAACGCCATTAGGTCTGGAGGAAAATGTTCACTCTCGTGATCAGGGTCAGAAAGGTTTGGGGTACAGCACATACTAAACCCTCCTCTTAGAAATTCACGGTGCAGATTGTGATCTAACAATAAAGGCCGAGCAGCCACACACACAAAAAGTGCCCATATAATTTATTGTCCAAATGCAATCACTTGTGTCTAAGATAAACACTAGATCAGTCACGGTAATAGGACGACCATTCTTGGACACCCTACAGAACCTGCTTGAACTCTGTCATTCTGCATCTCAAGAACTTACTTAAACAGAAAGTGCTTTTGTGTAATGTTTTCCCAGCGTGGCGCTGGCACCGGGACTTCAGTTGGAACCACACTGGCATTAGGAATGATGTGGTGTCATCATCAGCTCTCACTCACGGGTGCAGACAGCCCCACGGGTGCGAGAGCGCTTCCTGCTTTCCCGATTTGTGTCCAGTTCATCCTAATGAGCTCAGCTCCCCCGACATTCAGTCACCCCTGTAATTTGTGGTGTGCTTTCGACAGGACCCATGGCAGCTAATGTCCTAAAGGACTTGGCAATGGATCATCCCACGCAGCCTGTGGAGAGTGGGTCCACTCAACGCGCTGGCACTTCCTGCTTCTGAGCCTGAAGCGAACAGCCAGATGGTGAGCCTGGTCAGTTCACTCCATGGGGAGCTGTCCGGGTCAGCCAGCTTGCCTTCCCCTCAGATTGCAACGCTGTTGCCCAGTCACCAGGCACATTGACTTTTTTCTAAGCAGGATGACAGGGCTGCTGGTGCTCTCTTGCTGGTCTCAGATACATCTATCAGACACCGCATACAGCCAGTGTAATGACAGTGCTGAGCAAAGCTGACGGAGAGACATTAGAACCAGACTCCGCGTAGGAGGGCACAAGGGTCCGGAAGGAACTAAACAGCACACACTCGACTGTGAAGCTGTGAGGAGAGTGTTAATGAAGGGTCTGCTTACAGAGGAGTGGCCACGTGTAAAGGAACATGCGGCGGCCTGGAAGGTCTGCTGGAGACGAGGAACAAGGGCTGCCTGCAGAAGGGGTGGTCTTCCGCCCGTCACAGCCATTGTCAGGATGGCTGTGAACCGTGGAAAAGGACCATGGACTCTCTCCTCCCATCCTCCACATCCTGCCAGCCCATTGGCTAAACCCGACCACAAGAAAGGCACAGGAGTCGGGAGCTGGAGGCTGTGGAAGTCACCTGCCCGGAGAGGAAAGAAGGGCCCAAATGGGTTAGGGCCAGAGTACCTAGCGCCAGAGGAAAGAGTCCAAATCATGAGCCTCTGGATTAGACCTGGTAGTTGGGGCTCTGAGGCAGGGACAGGTTCAGGGCTCGGTGATTTTTCTGTGCTCTCCGGCCTCACAGACCTTTCTTTTCTCTCTCTCCATTATGCCTCCTGCTCTGCTTGTCTAAGTCTTACCCTTCTTTCAAGGCTCAGCTCCGTTCCTGTGGCCTTTGCCAGAAGTTTCCTGGTGGCCCATTTCATTATTGTGCCCTCACCTTACTCCCCATGCCTGTAATAATATTTATACTGATCATTTAACACCAAGTCTTCATTGTTCTAGATCTTATTAATGACCTGATCCTCAAACTAAATGGAAGGCTCGCCCTCGCTGGTTTGGCGCAGTGGATAGAGCGTTGGCCTGTGGACTGAAGGGTCCTGGGTTTGATTCCGGTCAAGGGCACATGCACAGGTTGCAGGCTCCATCCCCAGTAGGGGGCGTGCAAGAGGCAGCCAATCAATGATTCTCTCTCATCATTGATGTTTCTATATCTCTCTACCTCTCCCTTCCTCTCTGAAATCAATAAAAATATATTAAATAAGTAAATAAATAAAAAGCTCCAGAAAGGAAGGATGGGTGAAGCTCTACATATAGTAACTGCTCAATGAAACTTTACCAAAGAGGAGAAAGAATTCCCCGAGGATACCACTAACATAAATAATGGTGTTTGATTTCACTCAGTAAATTCTGTTGTAAGAAGGTAAGTCATGTTTTCCTCTAGAGCAATGGGACTGAGTTTTTTTTATGAGTATAACCTTTCCTTTTTTCTGTGAAATTTAAAAGTACTGCAGGCTAATCACAAAACTTCAAATGATATTGAAGCGTCCGAATTGGAAAGTAAAAGTCTTTTCCTTCTTCCTTGTACCCATGTTTAGTCAACTATTAATAGTTGCTTCATTTGTCTTAGAATGCCTTGATTTCCCTTTCATTCCTGAGGATGTTTTCACTGGATGTAATACTGTGGGATAGTCTCTTTACTTTCAGCACTTGGGAAATATCATGACTCTTCCTTCTGGCCTCTATAGTTTCTGATGAGAAATACTTTCTTACATGAATTACTTTTCCTCATTTATCTCTTGCTGCTTTCAAGGTTTTGTCTTTAGTTTTCAGATGTTTGATGTGTCTTGATATGGATTTTTGTGGGTTTGTCTTGCTTGAGATATGTTCAGCTTCTTGAATTCATTTATGCCTTTTGACATATTTGGAAAGTTTTCAGCCACTATTTCTTCACATACTTTTTCAGCTCTGCCTTCTTTCTCCTCTCCTTCTGGGACTCGGATGGCATGAATGTTGTTAGGTTTGTTATAGTCCTGTATATCCCTAAAACTCTGTTTGAATGTCACACACACACACACAAGACAATGTATTCATAATTACTTTTAAAAAGGAGGGAACTATGTAAAAAATTTAAACTTTTGTATGGCAACTTTCTGGAAGACAACTTGGTAATATCTACCCAGATTTTAAATGTTGAACTTGTTCCAACAAGCCATCTCTGCAAACTTATCCTTGAATTTGTAGTCACCAAACAATATATACACGTGTGTGTGTGTGCGTTTGTGTGTATTGCTCATCAAACTGTATATATGAAAAGAACCTCTATTACAGAATTGTTAATAATAGCAAAAATGTGGGAACAACCCCATGTCCAAGATAAAGAACGCAATAAATGATGTCCACCTGGTTCAGTACGACAGCCCCTCGAGAAAATGAGCTAGATCGCCAGGTACTGGCAGTGACTGGATCTCCAAGGAAGAGGGGTCAGAGGGGTGGGAAGTGGTGGAGGGAGATGTTTGTGTCATCCCTTTGGATACATTGTAATTATGTTTATGTGGCTCACTCTACATGTATTTACACGTTATACCAGCATGTAGTTTCCATTTATGTTAATACGTACATTTTTTTGGATGTGAAACACCAAATACTCTGCCTTGGATCGGGGACTTAGGTAGGTAGGGAAGAGACTACCAGCAGGAAACTATCTTAATTTTTTTCTTTACTATTTGAATTTTCCAACCTTGTACTTTTTTAATGTTGACAGGGATTACTTGATCTGTGGAATAATTAGAAGCCTTTATTTTCCCTTTTCCCAGTCTCCTGCTTTTAAAACTAATATACTCAATATTAAGAAAAAATTAACCATCCATAGAATTAGCTCTGCTTACTCACTGTGTTCATTCTAGGTTTCCACGGTAATCTGTGTTAGCCTCTTTCCTGGCTGTATCATTGATGTGGGTTTTGATTACATTATTCAGTTACTTTTATAAAGTAGATCAAGATGCCAGATCAACTATCTGGATATGTAGGAATTGGTGTGTGGTTATAATTAGAGTTTATTGTTCTCACTGGATTGTTCCATATTAACATATTAAATGTATTACATGCATAGTACAGGACATTACAAAGTAGAATAATGGGGAACAATACTCTGATTAAATTTCACATTTTCTGAAGAAATCAAATACTTTTTTAATAAGTACCCTTAATCCTAAGATCATATGTGTTAATTGTCTCTTATTCTTACCTCCTTAGAAACTTACAGATATCCAAAAATGGTTGAGATTGAACAGGCTGAGGCCCAGCTCTCTGAGTTAGACCTGCTGGCCAGCATGTTCCCTGGCGAGAATGAGCTCACAGTGAATGACCAGCTCGCTGTAGCAGAACTGAAAGATTGCATTGAAAAGGGGACAATGGAGGGCCGATCTTCAAAGGTTTACTTTACTATCAACATGAACCTGGACATGTCTGCGGGCACAGTGGTAATTCAGCTTTGCTTTTGGGAGAATTGAAACACATCAAGACTTAACGCTGAGGGCATTTTCCTTCTCTTTTGATCAGGTGGTGTTTTCTCTGGCCTGCATTCTTCCCTTTGAATACCCTGCAGTTCTGCCTGAAATCACTGTCAGGTGTGTTACAGGAACTGGCTAGCTTTTAAGGTCAAAATTAATCGGAGAATAATAGCAATTCTTGAGTTTTTTTTCTGTTCCAAGAAAATTGATTTAATGTTTTATCCCATATCTTTTCTACCAGGTCAGTATTATTAAGTAGATCCCAGCAGACTCAGCTGAACACAGATCTGACCGCATACCTGCAGAGGCATTGCCTCGGAGACGTCTGTATACTGAATGCCACCGACTGGGTTAGAGAACATGCCTCTGGCTATGTCAGCAGAGACCCCGCCCCTCCCCCCATTCCAGAAAGTACAGTCCAGCCTGTCCATGTCATTCTCACGAGACTCTGGATCTATAGCCATCACATCTACAACAAATGCAAACGAAAGGATATTCTGCAGTGGGCGAAGGAGCTTTCCCTGTCTGGGTTTAGCATGCCTGGGAAGCCAGGCGTCGTCTGTGTGGAAGGCCCTCACGGTGCTTGTGAAGAATTCTGGTCAAGGTGGGTGCACTCGCACAAACTCTGTGTGCCGTGCCAATCATCTCAGTTCTCGACTAGATCCTGGAGATGTAAAATAAGTATTTCCCTGGGTGGTGCCTTTGGGAATTCAGTCTCAAGTCATTGGACAAAGGAGAACTCACACGTGGTCACATCACTTCGCTCATCGGACACAGTGCACATGGGAGGGTTCTGTAAAGAGATGTTGCATCAAGGCCCTCCCTGCCCATGAATCTGACTCTTCCTCATCATAAGCTGCGTATTCCCTGTGAGGCATGGGAGTTTCTAATCCCACACTTCTCTACTGGTTTCCTAAATGAGTACCCAAGGTGTCCCTTTTGGGAGTTTGAGAATTAGTACTTTCTGTATCAGTGATAATGCAACAAATGACTTTGGGGACAGGATTATGACCAGAATCACATTTGATTAAAATGAATCCCTGAGATTATAAAGTAGATTTCTACCCTTCTAGGAAAGTAATGTTTTCAGTGTTCTTGAATGCACAACACAAGTTTCAAATTTTCTACTTTGAATATTTCTTTTCAGACTCAAAAAATTAAACTGGAAGAGAATTTTGATTCGCCATCGAGAAGACATTCCTTTGGATGGTACAAATGATGAAATGGAAAGATGGAGAAAATTTTCAGTTTTTGAAGAAAAAATGTTCAGTGTTGGTGGAGCCAGAGGAAACCACATGGACTTTGGTCAGCTGTATCACTTTTTAAATGCCAGTGGATGCGGGGATGTTTTCCAGATGTTCTTTGGTGTGGAAGGACAGTAGCTGAGCAGAGGAGTCACTGAAAGTATTTTGTCACTGTTTTTACCCACTCTTTCTTGAAAGATTCAGTAATTTTCCTTCAGTCCATTCTAAAATGTTATGGGTAAAAGAAGAGAAAAAGTAGCATAGCTCAAGTGCATCTGTTAAAAATTGTCCTGATTGAAAGCAGAACTGAGGCTTTATTTATAATCTTAAAATTACTGACAGGAATACCTTGGCATATCTACCCATTTTGAAAGAGAAATTAATTTGACTTGAGTTAGATAATATTGGTAGTCCAACTTGCCACCCGTTCTCTAACCCCTGCCCTTTACCTGTCTCCATGAGCTCTCCCAGCCTCTCTTGAAGCTCAAGTGGCCTGGGGATAGGGCTTTGGCTATGGATTGCCTGGTAAAACTTTTGCTTTCCTGGTTACTATGATTGACACAGCAAGAGCACCTCTTACCCCTCTTTTTGCTGCAACACCAAGGCTGATGGTTGGAGCTGCAGTAGCCCCTTCATCCACGAGGGCAGGAAGGGCCAGGAGAACCACAGAGATGCCAGCGCCTGTGGTGAGCTGCTTATCCAGCACCAGCCCCTGCCTCGCTGTAGAGAGCTTATCTATCTATATAAAAGCCTAATATAAAAGACCAGGAGTTCGATCACTCCCTATGATGTGCGCTGACCACCAGGGGGTGGCGTGGAATGAAGGAAGGCCCCGGCCGGCCCTGATCGCCAGTCAGGCCTAGGGACCCTACGTGGGCTTCTAGTTATGAAATAAAAACCATCTTATTTATATTTCTGTGCCACTTACTAGCAGTGGGAAGCTACTTTGCCAAATCAATTTTTGAAAGCTTTAGTTTTTAACCCTTTTCGGTCCAACGTGGAGGCTGACTTGACAGACCAGGCGCTAGGAGGAGGTCCAACGTCGAGGCTGAGGTCGACACCGCAAACCAGTTCAACATTCAATCCCATCAATTAATTTGGACCAGACTGTTTGAATTCCAAAAATAAAATTGGACCTCAAAGGTTTAATCTACCCCAACCATTTGATACACAAATATGTGAAGTATTTCTTAAGTAGAGTTTGCAGCTCATATATATTTGTGTATATTTAATGCTCTGTTCCTGAGTTCACCTCACAGAAGGGTAAGGCATGAACTGAGCTCAATCTCTTTTTAAAAAATGTTTTCATTGATTTCAGAGAGAGGAAAGGAGAGGGAGAGATAGAAACATGAGTAATGAGAGAGAATCATTTATTGGCTGCCTCCTGCACACCCCACACTGGGGATCAAGCCAAAAACCCAGGTATGTGCCCTGACCAGAATTGAGCCATGACCTCCTGGATCATAGGTTGACGCTCAACCACTGAGCCACACCAGCCAGGCTGTACTTTGTTTTAAGAAAAAGTACACTGCTATGTACAAATATACAGATCTCAAGTGTAACAAGAAACACATAGAATATAATAATATATTAGTTTTCTTCCTTGAGACAAACCTGTCAGATTTAGACATTGGATTATTGACAGAGTGACCAAGAAAGTACAGATGTTCCAACCTCATGATTAGTAAATTCCTTTGAAAATGGGTGAGAGTAGTAGCAAAAAAGAAAACTGCAAGTTAGATGGTCCTACCTACATTAATGTAAGAGACCCAATAAAAGCTGTAAGAAGCTAGTTAAATGTTAGAGCAATATGGCTTCCTTAGACTTTAAAAGTGAATATATATTTGATATAAAGATCCTGAAATGTAAAACTGTTCAATATGTATATTCATTCCATAATGACAATTTTTCTATGTATTATTTCGGTAATATGTCTGGAATTAGAATCATCTGTGAAGGAAGTGTTATCCTTAAAAGAAACTATTAATGCCAAATCAAATTATGATTAAAAGTTAAAAATCTATAGAAAACAGTGTGAGCAGAAAACATTGGCTACATGTCCACTTTTATTTATAAAGTAATTCCTATACAAACAATAGTATTCTTTTTTAAGTATGTTTTATTGATTTTTAGAGAGATAGGAAGTGATTTAATAGCCTGCGTTTCTTTTTTTTTTTAATATATTTTTATTGATTTCAGAGAAAGGAAGGGAGAGGGATTGAGAGATAGGAACTTTGATTCCATCTGCTGCCTCCTGCATGCCCCCTACTGGAAATTGAGCCTGCAACCCAGGCATGTACCCTAACCGGGAATCGAACCTGTGACCTCCTGGTTCATGGGCCAACACTCAACCACTGAGCCACACCAGTTGGGTAGCCTGCGTTTCTAACAAACACCCAGATGATGCTGATGACTGCATTTCAAAATCTCACACTGCCCTAGGCAGTTTGGCTCAATGGATAGTGTCCTACTGCCACTCTTGTGGGTGGGAGAACACGGCCAGCCTCCCCTCCATCGGAACCAATCTCGCCTCCTGCCTCTGAGGAAGCGGAGAGTCAGCACTGTGGGCCCAGGCTCGGCTTCCTATTGGACAGGGGTGACGTCACTCAGGGAGACGTGGCTCTAATTGTGAGGTGATGCGGGAGGTAGTCAAGGCCACGGTGGGAGGCGGGAGGCGGGAGGCGGGAGCAGAAGTCGGGCGGCAGGAAGACCAGGGTGGGCGCCGGAAGGGGAGGGCCGGGAAGTTGTTCTGTGACCGCTTCCGGAGGCAGGGCCGGAAGTGGTGGCCCGGCTGTGTCAACCCGGGGGCTGCGGGCTGAGTGTGGCGGAGGTCGCGACCATGGGCGGGAAGAACAAGCAGCGGACCAAAGGGAATCTGCGGGTGAGAGCGGGTGAGAGCGGGTGGCCGGCCGCGCGGGGCAGGGCCGCGGGGCGGGGGGCGTGTGGCCTCCCGCCTGCGTCTCTGCCGGCGGGGCCGGTGAGCAGGTGGCGGAGAGAGAGGAGGGCGTGCGACGCCGAGCTGCCCCCGCGCACACACTTTCATGAGCAGATGCGTCGGTGCAGCGGGACCGGGAGGGCACCTGCGGGGCGAGCCGGGCCGCGGACTCGGTGGGTGGGAGGCTGCCGACGGAGCCTGCGCGCCGGGGTCCCGGGCAGGCTCTCGCCCTCCCGCCTCTTCCCGTCCCTTGTGCAGCCGCACGGACTCCTCACGGAGCCGGGCCTTTTTATTTTAAAAATGTCCTCAGTGTTTTGTTTTTTAAATATTCCAAATATAAGGAAAAGAGTACTAGGGAATAATATGCAAGATTGTTACAAGGACAACCAATATATTCGTTACCTAGACTCGCCAGGCGGCAATAATTGGCCATATTTGCTTCCTCTGTCTAATGTATGTATTTTGTTGAACCATATGAGAATTACTTGCAGAAATTCAACTCTAAAGTACTTCACGTGTATTATAAAAATAATGCCATTCTCCGTAACCGCGAGCAATTATAACACGCAGAAAAGTGTAACTTCCGTATAATACTGTTAGCTAATAGGATACAGCATTGTATTCAGATTCCTGTAGTCAACTCAATGTTCTCCCCTCTCCCTCTCTCGCTCTCGCTCTCAAACCAATAAAAACATATTTTAAAGGATTTTTAAGAAATAAAAATAAAAAAACATCCAAGATCCAGCCAGAGACCCCTCATTCCCTTTTGTTATTTAGATCTTGACAGTTTCCCAGCTTTTCTTCCCCTGGTGGAGGGTGTTCTTTTATGACATGGACAGTTTGGAAGAGTCTCTAGGCCAATTGTTTTGCTTAACTTAGAATTGTCTCGTTGTTCCTTATGATTTGATTCAGGTTAAGCCATTTTGGCAGGAATGCTTTGTAGATGGAGCTCTGACTTTTTCCCTGTGTCATAGCCTGTTTCATTACTGGAGGTATTTGTTTCTTTACTTGATGAAGAGAACTTTTTCCATTGGTTATCTATACTAATAAAAGAGTAATATGCTAATTAGACCGGGAGACCTTCCGGAGACCTTCTGGACGTCCTTCTGGACAAAGCCGGGGGCTTGGCCGGCCTGCAAACCACCCGCAAACGGCCCTCAGCCCCTCGCCCAGGCTGGCCATGCCCCCGCACAGAGACCCCCACCCTGAAGGGGGTGTAGCCAGCCTGCAAACCACCCCAGGCCCTTCACCCAGGCCAGCTATGCCCTCCAAGGGGACCCCACCCTGATCCGGGACCCCCTTCAGGGCAGACCAGCCAGCCCCCACCCATGCACCAGGCCTCTATACTAATAAAAGGGAAATATGCTAATTAGACTGGGAGACCTTCCCGGAGACCTTCCGGACGAAGCCATGGTGGCGGGGCCGAGGCAGACGCGGTTAGGGGCAATCAGGCCAGGAGGGGAGGGCAGTTGGGGGTGATCAGGCTGGTGGAAGGGGCAGTTGGATGTGAGCAGGCCGGCGGGGAGGGCAGTTAGGGGCAATCAGGTCGGGGGGTAGTTGGAGGCGAGCAGGCTGGCGGGGGGGGGGGGCAGTTGGGGTCGATCAGGCCAGTGGGGGGGGGGGGCAGTTGGGGATGAGTAGGTTGGCAAGGGGGGGCAGTTAGGGATGATCACGTCAGTGGGAGGGGGGCAGTTGGAGCAAGCAGGCTGGCAGGCAGAGTAGTTAGGGGCGATCAGGCAGGCAGGCAGGTGAGCGGTTAGAAGCCAGCGGTCCTGAATTGCGAGAGGGATGTCCCAGATTGGAGAGGGTGCAGGCTGGGCTGAGGGACACCCCCCCCCCCGCCTGTGCATGAATTTCATGCACCGGGCCACTAGTCTACATATATATGTATATGTATGTATATATATGTATATATATATATATAAGCCCAGCAACCATTATGGCAGAACCAGAACTACTGGTCTCTATGACCGCACTGACCACCAGGGGGCAGATGCTGGAGCTGCCCCCTGGTGGTCAATGTGCTCCCACAGTGGGAGCACTGCTCAGCCAGAAGCCAGGCTCACGGCTGGTGAGTGCAGCGGCGGTGATGGGAGCCTTTCCGGTCTCCGTGGCAGCGCTAAGGAGTGGTGAGCCAAGGGGTAAGGAGCGAGCAGACGGGCGGTTAGGAGCAAGGGGTCCCGGATTGCAAGAGGGCACAGGCTGGGCTGAAGGATCCCCCCTTACCCCCATGCACGAATTTCGTGCATTGGGTCTCTAATTAAAAATATATTAAGTGGTAGTTTGAGACTGGGAATACCTTGTTCTCTCACACAAACTTTCATCTAATAGTTTTAGCATTCTTTGGTAGTAATTTCTGGGATCAGTTATTGCTATGGTAGTCTAAAAACTTATGTTTAATCTTGACAACAACCCAAATAACGAGTTAGCTACAGTTATCTCATTTTAAAAACGATGGTACTGAGACTTAAGAAATGAATTTACTTAAGTTCATGTAACCAGGAGTTGTGGAGTTGGGATTTGAGTGGCAGTCATTGATTCAGCAGACGATCTTGAATCCTGAATGCCAAGTATTCAAAAGTGATAGACAGATGTCCCCTTCCCTTTGGTTAATCCTCACCTTAGAATATTTTCCCCACTGATTTTTAGAGAGAGTGGAAGGGAGGGGGGAGATACAGAGAGAGAAACATCAATGTGAATGGTTGCCTACTGCATGCGCCCTGACCAGGGTTGGGGATCGAGCCTGCAACCCAGGTACATGCCATTCACCAGAATTGAATCCGAGAGTCTTTAGTCTGCGGACCAATGATCTAACCATTGGGAAAACTGCCTAGGGCCCATTTTCTCGTTGACAGGCACCGATTAGTATATAAATAATGGTAATACATTAGAGAATTATGATAGAGGTATGAGTAGGAAGGAAGTGGGGGAATAGAAAAAGAATGGGGATCGACCTGAGGGAGGCAGATGTTGAAAACATGAGTGTATTTTGGAGGGCGAGTAGGAGTTGGTCAGACAATTAAAATGGAGAGGTTTTCGGGTGGAGAGAAAAGATTGTGCGAAGACGGAATTGTGACTGTGAAAGGGCATAGCTTGTTCAGGGGCCCTTGCGTTCACTCTGGGACTGGAACATAAATTGAGGCAGCTCAGTTGAGGCAAGGGAAGGAAAGGGTGGCAGGAGAACACTCCTGCAACGATCGGGACCAGCTGGGGACAGATATGTTCTGAGTTTGGTGTTTAAACTGTAGACACAAGCTCACCACTTCAAATACCTTGTTCTCTCCCACAAACTTTCATCTGATAGTTGTGGCATTCTTTGATAATAATGGCTAGAATCAGTTATTGCTATGGTCGTCTAAAAACTGGAAGACAGGCACAAGAGTGAGCTGGGTGTATAAGAAAAGTAACTGCCAGAAAGAAAATCAAGGTTCTTGATTTCTGAGCTGTGGGTATGAACATCTGAGATACAATAGAGTAAGTGAAAAGAAACAGTAACTGTATTTTAAACTCCAAGTGGCCATTGAGTAAAAGATACAATCAGAACATTGAACTAATTTGTTACTTTTAAATTGGAAACTAGAAATGGGATAGCTTTTCTCCTTCGCTGTCCAGCTCTGATAATTCAGGTCAGTTCAGAATTCAACCTTGACTCCTTTAGCTTTTAGCAATAATTCGTTTTTTATACTACTTCATTCTGTTTTATCATACAGCTGTTTACAAATGGGGTTATAGATAAAATTTGGATGTCCTAAGGCAGGGGTCCTCAAACTTTTTAAACAGGGGGCCAGTTCACTGTCCCTCAGACCGTTGGAGGGCCACACTATAGTTTAAAAAAAAACAACTATGAACAAATTCCTATGCACACTGCACATACCTTATTTTGAAGTAAAAAATAAAACGGGAGCAAATACAATATTTGTATTTGCATGTGGCCCGCAGGCCGTAGTTTGAGGACCCCTGTCCTAAGATCATCATATTTAGTTTTCAGAATTGTATTTTAGTTCACTAACTTTCTTTGTAGCTTTTTGTTCATGCGTCAATATTGAGAAAGACGAATTGAATAATGCTTATTTAAATAAGGTTTTAAAATAGAGAACCTATTTTGCAATTA